CACTCATTGGCCATGCTTCCCACCACGAAGGCACTCGCCAAAAGAACTTGGTGAAGCCTGCGTCCCATGGCAAGGAGCTTCTTTCGAATTGGCTTCTTGGCCTCTCTCCTCTTGCGGATCCCCGCAACAGCCTTCTGCCGAGGAGTCATAGTAGGCCCATCGTCCTGACAATCTTCGCTGCCAGACTCATGTTCGACTTCAATCACGAAGGTCTCTTCCGGGACCCCCTCATACTTTGCCTCAGTGCCAAGCCCGACTGTCACGTCATTCTCAATGTCCTCCCCATCGACAACCTCGCTGCTGAGCCCGATCACCCTGTCATTCTCAGCAACTATGTCGACGTCCTTGAGCATAGCCCCACCATGAGCTCCACTGATCCAGCCTTTGGCATGCCGGATCATTGTTGATATCCACGAGGAGGGATGTGATGCTTCTGCTTCAGAGCTGCTAGCCTCATCTCCAACTCCGCCAGCTCGGCCTGTGCTTCCTCGCTCAGTTCCGACTGCATGGCGGAGATTGCTTCGATCTCCTCCTCGAACTGCCTCTTGTCTTTCCCCGGAGACCTCCTTGATGATCCCTGGCTCACTGACGACTTCCATGACACCACGGATGCCACATCTGGCGGCTCCACCACTGCCTTCACCTCCGGGTCGTCCGTGGCCAGCACCGTGCCGCTCTTCTTCATCCGAGCTTGACGGCCCGACAATTCCGTCTGAGCCCACTTTGCAAAGAGCTTCAGGTCTGGGGAGGCATTCGAATTGGCTCTCACCTCCCGGATGCTCCAATCCATGTAGGACTCCGGCACCTCCTTGTAGAGCCAGCTGCGGTATTTGCCGAAGGTCATGACGTGGTCCCCAGGTGGCTGCACTGCCTCCCGGATCAGTTTGAGAAGCACCCCCCTTGTCGGTTTTGGTGGCACCGTGATCTCCAACTCCGCCGCCTTGGTCAGCAGCTCCTCCAATTTCAACTTCGTGAGGCCAGTCGCTGGGTTTGCCTCGCCCCTTGGAAATCTGATCTCCCGCTGCTCGATCAGCGACTGCCGGATCTCGGGCACTGTCCATTGTGGATGGACCGGAACTTGGTATGATTCCAGTTCCGTCACCAGTTCCTCCCGGCGCATCTTCCATGGTGATGCCAGGACAGCGGAGGACAGCACAGGCATGGGCGATCGAAGACTCGTTGTCGTGCTTGACCAAGCGCTTTTTGAAACAGCTGCGGCCGATCCATAGATTTCCAAACATGTCCTTCACGTCATCAACCGTGTCATTCCGATTCTCAGACCTCCAAACTCCTTCATGCCTCAGCTCATGTAGACCTTCTGCATGACATGGGATCACCTCCGTATACCTGACCTCACCCAACATGTCCAACAGTTGCTCTTTCAAATGATGAAGTGGAGTTTTCCATGCTCGTGGATCAAAAGGAAATTTTCGTGGCACCACATGCACTCGTATGATCATGTCAGAATCTTCAATCCAAAAATCTCGGCTTTGATTTGCTGTTTTCCATCACGTGTAGAAGGAAACCCTTGACAAAGTGGATGACTTCAACATGTTCTCAACTTCAAGTGCCAACTTTTTTGGATAAAAGAGAGGTTTGCTCGACACCGAATTCCCTTGATGGTCCAGCTCACGCTCCTTGTATGCTGACTCGGCGGCCGCAGGATCCACTGCATCCAAGATTGGAAACTGGACTCTCTCGTCCGATGTCCATTCCTTGGCCAACTGCTGACGAATGTCACTGGGATAGTCAGACACGACTAGTGCAGGGTGCCCCGTGGGTGAAGTTTCCATTGGCACTTCCTGCAAACCCAAATTGCGCAAATCGGCCTTCTGGCCCACTACATCATACGTCATTCCAAGAAAAACCAAAATGGTCTTGCTGAACAAAAGGGGCACATCGCACTGTACAATGGCTATCTTAGCCTTGAAAGGTTGTCCTTCTATTGCAAAAACTGCGTTCACCGCAAAGTGAGACTCATGGACCCTCGAAGCACCAAACTTGAAACGATCTCGTTCTTCAATGATCTCCACCTCCCAGCCCTGGCGATCAGCCACCTGGCAGTACTGCTCATACCACAAGTGCCCTGCCACTGCCTTCGTGCAGGCGGTGTCCGTGATCGCCAGCATACGGCTGGCCCCACCAGTGAAGATGGAGTCCACGTGGCCCTCCTGGTCAGTGATCGTTGCAATGTCATTCGCAGGGATGTAGCCACCAGCTCCATCGCCAGTCATGTAACACATTTGCACATGGTTGCACACCTGCACATTCTTGGTGTTGCCATCGCCCACCGAAGTCACCGAAGCCGATGTTTTGCCGCGAAGGGGGCATTCTGGGTCACGATGCCAATGTCCGCGACGTTTGCATGCCGCACAAAAGCTCTTGGCCTTTGCGGCTTTGAGCCGCTCCTCACTCCTCTTCTTCAGCTCGTTGGCATCGACTCCACGGCCTTTCATGGCCTCACGGTATTTCGACTTTGCATCCTGGAAGGCCATGAAGGCACAATGGTAATTCTCGGCCACAGTCTCGGAAACCAACTCCGAGTCCGAAGGATCAGGATCAACGTCCTCCGGCTCGGCCTCATCCTCAGTCATGGGGTCTGCCGCATTGGTGACGTGGACAGACCTCGGCTCACCATAGCCACTTCCGCCATTGTTCCGGCTACCCCACCTCGGATTTCCTTTTTCCCATGTCCTCTTAGGACCTCTGTCATGTAGTATGGCCGCCTGCTGAAGCAACTTCACATCGTACTGGTTCTGCACAGAGGAGAGAAGTGCCAGTTCTTCGCCTTCACTCAGTTTCAGCTTGTCCAGGTAGAGCCATGCTTTGACCAAGCCCGGAAGCTCACAGTTCAGCTCCTTCAGGTGCAACACCAACCTTTCAAACTCCACATTGAAGTCCCGCACAGTCTGCTCCGGTTTCCTTCTGCACCGCCGGAACAGCTCTGTCATCACATTTCCAACCTTCGTCACCTCCATCTCCATGAATCGGACTCTGATCCAATCCTGGAAGTATTCAACTCCTCCGGGACGGGCCAGCATGTCCACATCCAGCTCCTCCGCGAAGACCCATGCCTTGCCCCCCAAGCTTGAGTAGAGGGCAACTGCTCTATCCTTCTCTGCCATGCGTGTGCACTTCAGCCAAGCCGCCACTTTCCGCAGATAACTGCGTGCAGATCGTCCTAGTTCGGACTCATTGCCTTCTCCCGTGAACTCGGGCACAACCAACTTCTCGTTTGACCGATTTCCTCCAGGGCGAGCAGAATCTTCCTGAGCTCCTTCTTCGCCCCAAGTGCTGCCAGTACCCTGGCTGCTATGCCCTTGTACACCTTGCCATTTGCCATCACGCACCATGGTGGTTTCTTCGACCCTGGAAACATTGCTTCCACGTCTATCTCCCCAGCTATGGTCATCCCAATAGCTAGAACTCCAATTCCAGGGCTCATTCCACCATCTCTCATTCCAACCACTTCCATACCAGCTATCACTCCATTCCCAGTCCTGGTGTCCAGCAGCTGTGTCCTCCATCTCGCCGTTCTCAAGCTCCCGCATGCCGTCCTGGGACGATTCGGCCCTTGCAGCAGACTCGACATGTGGAGTGCCCCCATCAGCACTCTCATCGCTAACTGCGGCCTGATGCCGTTCAGTCCCAACCCCAGCCCGGGGTCTCCATTGTTGCACCATAGAGCTCTACCGGAAAGATCTCCTCGGCAAACCCAAGGATGTAGTAGCGGAGGTTCCTGCAGCCAGGCACCAGGTAGGCAAACTTGTCCCGGATAGCCGGCTCCGCCTACCAATGTTGCTGTGCCAACGGTGCAAAGCAGTCGCTCGACATTTTTCACCTGCAAACTACTCATGTGCCTGAAAAGGTGATAGGGCCATCACGGCCGCAGATTGGCAAATGGATGTTGCAACCTGCAAAGGAAATAATATGTGCCAAGACATGTCAGTGACATTCACAATAACAAATCCATAGAAAATCCATAGAATTGTCATAGAATTTCCATAGAAAATCCACAATACCATCGAAATCCCTTGGAAGTGCAGTTCTAGTTGTAGGTGGATCATATTTCACCATTGTTATTGGGAGGTTTCTTAAAATGGGGGTTACCCCCAGTTCTCATCCATTTATAGCTTGGATTTTCCATGAAATAAAGGCATCCAGCTATTGGGGATACCACCATTTTCGGAAACCCCCACCATACTTGGTTATCTCATCCCACTTTGCAAATAGGTTGTATCTCTGATTCTAAATGGGATAAGTAGGGTTAATCCGCTTATAACTGGGGTGAACTAACCTACTTGCTAAGTGGGATGATGTACCCCACTATGGAAACCCCCATGACTAAGTAGGCTTCGATCTATATCCCTACAGGATGGTGCCCCCCAGTTATATGTTGGTAGAAAAAAACCTATGAATACTATAGTTATCTACAATGTGGTTAAAACAATAATAAAACATCCGGGATGGTATAAACCATTCCCAGTCATGGGTGGTTCATGACATTGTTTAACTACATTCTAGTTATCTATAGTTATCTCTACCATAACTGGTTGGTGGTTTCAACCCCTCTGAAAATATCAGTCACCTGGGATCATTATTCCCAACTGAATGGAACCATAAAATCCATGTTCCAAAGCACCAACCAGAAATAATAATCACTAGTTGATAACTATGGTTGATTTAGAAACCATACCAAGACAACACAGTACATCAACCAATGTTACCTATAGTTATATCTACCAGAAAAACCATACAAAGTGGGGCCCCCAAACGTTATAAGTTGGTTAACAAGTTAGCCCCAATAACTGGTTCGTGATAAGTGCGTACCATAAACCAGTTCGTGACATTGGAGTTATTAGTTCACCCCAACTGAACGCTAGCTATCATGAAAAGCTATAAATCCCATGAAATCACCATTTTCCCATGGTTTTCCCATGGTTTTCCTATGGTTTTTCCCATGAAATCAAACCATAGGAAGCCCCCCATCGTTGAAAAGCCTGTCCCTGTTGGGCCGAGGTCAATGGCGCAGCCGAGGTCACCTGGATTTTCGGAGGTCACCATGGAAAAAAAAGGATATATGGTTTTATATGGTTTTATATGGTTTTATATGGTTTTATATGGTTTTATGTGGTTTTATATGGTTTTATATATGGTTTAATATGGATAATAATGGGATAATGATGGGATAATAATGGGATAACAATGGGATAATAATGGGATAACTGGGATAACAATACTGGTTGGTGGTATACATCTGGTTAATGGTGATTAATGGTGGTTAATGGTGATTAATGATGGTTAATGATGGGAAATGATGATTAATTATCTGGTTGGTGGTTGAGCCCTACACCCCTGAAAAAATGATGGAGTTCGTCAGATTGGATCATCATCCCCAATCTGCTTGGGGAAACTAATCCACTCATGTTCCAGTCACCACCAAGCAGTAGGGGTCGGATGGGTTTTTAAGCAACAAACATGAGAACCTCAAGGATCATTTGCAGAGGATTTTTGAGGGATTTTTGGAGGATTTGACCAAAAAATAGCCTCTTCAGCATGAAAAAAAAGGGACTTGACCATGAAAAAACTACTTCGATGGGCCATGGAGTTAGTTAACTAGTTAGTAAATGGCTTATAATTGGGATTTTTTGGGGGTAAACAAACCCCAGTTACTAACCAGGAATCGCTAATCCTATGGCCCATCTAAGTAGGGATGTCATTGATCCGACCATCGAATGGATCTACCCGGCCTGGTAGTGACTATATAACAGTTTGCGAACTTGAACATGGCCATTTAGACATCGTGGATTTACCCAGCTACATAGCATGGTGGATCTTTCCAGAGTTTTTGGTATGTTTACCAGAGGCCAAGATGATCTAATTGTCAGATCTTGTCAGGTATTTGGGACCTATAGGTTCCAAGAAAGCTAGATATATCATGATATATCATGATATATCTATTACCTATTCATAATATTCATATCCCACATGCTTGGTTTGATTATTGATATTGGGCTCTGATTTACCCGGCTTTAGTACCCCATACCGGACATGGAAGCTGTGCAGGTTGACCCAGGTTGGTTGACCTGCCTCCAGAAATGCGGTTTTTACCATCAAATATAGGGGTTTCCTGTAAATTTTCCCATCATCCAATTCTATGATATGGATGTTAATGGATATTAATGGTGAAAATAAGTCCAGTAGCTATGGTTTATGATACATGTAACTATAGTATTCATGGGGATTAATGAACCATCTTATAACTGGGGGGTTAATAAACCATCAATGGATATTAATGGATGTTAATGGATGTTAATATGGATATAAGTCAATGGATGATATGTCTACAGTCAATGTTAATGGATGATAATGATAGTCAATGGATATTAATGGATAGTAAATTTCTACAATGTGAGGCCCCCCAGTTATAAGTTGGTTAACAAAAGCCCTAGTAACTATAGTTATGTGCGTACCATAAACCAGTTCGTGACATTGGAGTTATTTGCGCCAACTTAGATATCAAACGGGGGCCTCACATTGTAGGTTACTATGGGTTCTAATCCCAACAACCCAGGTAGTATAACCCTCCATAACCAGCAACAGGGGTATTTTTAGTGCCTCGTGGCTCGTGCCACAAGATGGTCATATGGTTTATGGACATCCATCCCATAATGAACACCCTTATAATGATCTGGGTAAATTATCATATTTCACTAACCTGAATTGTTGGGCCAGAAAAGGGGATCATTTCCCAACCTAACTACGATTATAGTGAGGGAGAACAGTGAGGTCGTGCTGAAATTTACGTAGAATGACGTAAGGGTTGATGGTTTCCCATTATGTACGGGTTGATGGCATAGGGTTGATTCTCTAAAAAGATCCCAAGATGGCATTTCTGGGTTTCCCATTTTTTGCTTCGAGTATCCAAATCCGTATACTGGTTGGTGGTTTCAATCCCTCTGAAAAATATTAGTCAGTTGGGATGATTATTCCCAATCTATGGAAAAATAAGAAATGTTTGAAATCACCAACCAGGTATAAACATGGTTTGATTCTTCCCCCTGGTATACGAACATCTAAGAACTGCGTATATGATCCAACTTTGGATTATAGTCTGGTTGGTGGTTTCAACCCCTCTGAAAAATATGAAAGTCAGTCGGGAAGGATGGTCCCATATATGATGGAAAATAAAACACGATCCAAACCACCAACCAGTAGTTGATTGGAAATCCCATCGTATTCCTCTTCATATCTTATGACATTCCACTTTCAGCCAACTTGACCATCACACATATGGAGGTTTCCACACTAATAGGGCTATCCCCAGTTCTCATCCATTTATAGATGGATTTTCCATCCCCAGTTCTCATCCATTTAAAGATGAAATAAACCATGAAATGAACCATCCAGCGATGGTAAGGGCTACCACCATAACTTCCTATGGAACCGGCCCAAAAAAACGCACCTTGCACAGCACCAGCCCCTTCTCGGCACGGTAGAAGTTCTGAAGAATCCGGGGTGATGATAGGTTTACATAGTGGGTAGAACCCATGGGAAAACCATGGGATAACAATGGGAAAACCCATGGTTGATAGTGATGGTTAATAGTGGTTAATAGTGACTATGAATGTGGGTAAATAGTGATTCATAGATGTTAATAGTGATGATCATCCATGAATAGTGATTTAGAACCAATTTTTGGGTGGTTAATAGATTAATGTGGGTAAACCAATGCCATAAACCAGCCATGACTGGGAATGGTAAACATACCACCTATAATTTTATGGTGATGACTGGGGGATGGTTTATGGCATTGTTTTAACCACATTATGGGAATATAATAGCCATTACCCATGGATATTGATGATATTATATGATCTTAACTATATAATATCCATATCATGATCATATTCACGAAAAAAACATATGGATATGATCTTATCAAACATTGAATCCCCCGATGGAAAATAGATATTCCATGAAACAACCTTTTCGATCAGCAAATGACTATAGTGGATGTTCGCAACGAATCTGTTGTACCAATTATAGGTATTACGTGGTTATCAACAGAAAAGATTCAACATCTACCCACACATAAATCCAGTCAAGGGGGAATTACCGGGAAAGGATGGCCTAGAAATTAACTGGTTGGACTGGTTTCAACCCCTCTGAAAAATATGAGTTCGTCAATGGGTTTCGGATGACATCCCACAGATGAAATGGAAAATAATCCATTCATGTTCCAGTCACCACCAAGCAGTTAAAAGTTCGACCCTGCCATATGCAGGGAGTGAGTTTCCAGTAAAAAAAAAGGTGATTTTCAGGGTCTATGTTACCATTGAGTATACCAACTGCTAATGAAAGATGGCAAAGGAACATCCACAACAAAACCACAACAAACCTTGAGGATTTTCCGGTAGACCAACGGAAATTGCTATAGAAAACCCCAACCAAACTTACCATATAAGGGGATTTTACATGATTTTACCCCTTAGCCTTACTATCTTTAAAGTATCATTTCCGCAAGTGGTATAGGTTTTCCCTGAAAATTCCCTGAAGCGGAATGCTGTCGGATCGTCTCGTGCACCGTTGATGCATCCAGGAAATCCAGGCCCAGACAAAATCAAGCATTTATAATGGGATAACTATTCATATGATGGGTACATATCATTGACTCATTGATATTTCATGGGATCTACAATAACATTGCTATGACATCATGAAAATATCATTCATATCCAGATATCATATTGTTATGATGAAATATGTGGATAGCTATTTGTAACATAATTCCATCACCTGTTCATCTGGTTGGTGGTTTCAACCCCTCTGAAACATATTAATAAGTTGGGATGATTATTCCCAATACCCTCTGGTAATTTAACATAGCTAATGAAAATCACCATTTTTAATGGGAAAATCCACTATTAATGGCCATTTTCAATAGCTATGTTAAATTACCAGAGGGTATATGGAAAAATAAGATTCATGTTCCAAACCACCAACCAGTCATATTTGTTACACCCCTGTGTTTTTTGATCCAGTCAGTGGATTTGTTTCTCCGAAAAATACCGCCATGGAACAGCGAATGGCGACCGGACCGGACCGGACGGCAATGCATTGAAAAGATTTTGGTATAGAAAAAGACACATACCCTCTGGTAAACATAGAAAAAACTACGGAAAATGACCATTTATAATAAATAATATATACCCATTAAAAGGTGGTGAATTTCCATAGTTATGCTAAATTACCAGAGGGTATTCCAACTTTTGGGCATCTTGCTACTGTGGATGGGCCAGCGAAATCCGGATCACCAGTTGATAGATGGTTTATCCGTTTATCCCATGATTTATAGAGTTTCAGCCATCCTTTTGGTGGTGCAGGATTTCGCAGCCATCCACAGTATCATGATGTTTTTTGCCAACTTATTGGGATCCTTGAACTACCACACAGCCAAAAAGCCGACAGGAAAAAACGGCTGCCATTGCGAAGCCCGTCCTCAAAAATGTCAATCATGCGCGAGAGAAGGTGGGCTCGCTTGTTCTCCACCAAGACCTGTTCGGTGGCCGGATGTGGTATGCTTGAAGCAATCCCTCAAAAATATCGCCATGATCTTCCCGTGATTTTATGTATTTCAAGTGCTCCAGTATTTCAAGTGGTGGTTATGTGTGTTGGTGTAGGGTATAACCCCAGCCATGAATCCTCTCAGAACCAGCATACTGAGAGGGAAGACGAGATTTTATGGAGTGGGGACTCAAGCAACAATGAGGACACAAATGAATAGAACAGATATGGAACCACTGGGGGATAGAAGTCTGAACTTGATGTTGCTAGAAAGCACCCAGTTCCAAGGATTTCTGGTCATCCGAATCACAACAAAAAAAACAAGTGTCGTTTCGACATCTCAACATTTGACGAATTCCTCTTTCACACGATCGTTTCTGTTCAAAAAAGAGCCAATGGATTGATGCAACGATCATAGGCGCACACCCTCTGGTGACTAACAGTTTGCGGCACATCACCATTTTCAATGGGTCATTGTTATAAATGTACCATCTTCCATAGCTATAACTAGAGGGGAAACACCATTTCGATTTTCCCATTGGGAACCAATCCGCGGAATTCTCGTTCCATGGCCAGTCTTAGATATCCGGCAAGAAATTAAATTCTTAGCTGGTGAAAGTAGATATTCCTATTGCAACAAATTTTCAAAGGTTAGTTTCTACCCATCCAGTTGGTTGACCTAGGTTCAGAATTTCACAATCTCCACACACATTTACCCCCCCTCGGTAGTCATGTCCATGGCTGAAAATTTCGCTGGCTGTACTTCGATGGTTGATTTCCCGGCCCGCCACGTTTGATAGGCTGTAAACCATTATTCATATACCACACATCCACACAATGTTTCCTGACATGAAATACCATCATTACTGTTTTTCGTGGGTGAAACCCAAGATTTTCTTGGAACACATCAATATTTACGCTTGTTCTACTATTCAAATCTTCATTTTTCTTGGATTTTTCACTTCTCTCCCCATTCTTCCGTGGTTTTTCCATGAAATCTCCCCAGTCTTCCATCGTTTTTCCAGGATTTTCCCCATGTTTTCCCATCTAAAGCGGTGAAAGTCCACCGGGGTGAACGGCTCGGCTCGGCGAACTCACGCACCGGCGCCTTGAGGAAATTCACCACGGCTCCATCCATCCCGGCTTTGCTGCAGATCGCTTCGAAGGCGGCCACCTGGGTTTTTCTCGCATGGGAGAGAAAAACACCGAAAAAAAAATAGTATGTATATATATATGTATGAATGGGATTATTATTGATAGTTATTGATAGTATATATTAGATAGTGTACCATGAAAGATATTATTAGTACATTACACTAGATATTATTAGATAGTTATTGATAGTATATATATATATATTATATTATATATATACATGTATGAATAGTACATGTTAAACTTACTGGTGCTAAACGTAGGGAACTGGTACTATATATATATAACAGCATGTATAGTGTAGTGTATGTATAGTGTCTGTGTAGTGTCTGTATAGTGTCTGTATAGTGTATGTATAGTGTATTTATAGTGTATATATATAGATCTACATGTATATGTATAATGTATCTGTGATATGTGGAATATCAGCCATTTTGCAGTTGTGGATTTTAGTTTTTCTTCAAATTTATCGATGTATAGCTAGGCGAAAACTCATGAATTCTGGTGCTTGGAAGATCACAGGTCTTTCATCATTCCAGTGACGCGATCAACTTGATCCGCAAATCTCCATGATACCCCATGTCACCCTCATTTGGATGTTTTTTTGGCCAAATCACCCGATTTTTTGGGTGAAATCACCCCTGGTTGGTGGTATACCTACCCCCCTGAAAAAGAACGCAATGATAACAGAACCAAGGCTCTATATATATATAATAATAATATATATAATATACTGGTTGGTGGTTTTAACCATCTGAAAAAAATGATGGAGTGAAAGTCAGTTGGGATGATGACATTCATTCCCAACTGAATGGAAAGTCATAAAAATTCCATGGTTCCAGTCACCGCCAACCAGATCATCATCATATTCCCATTGTTGTTGGTTTATACCCTATTAAAACCACTATTAACCACTATTAACCAACCAACCAGATCATCAGAATGGGTGGCAAACGTGCGTCCCGCCTTGCTGTCTGGCTCGATTCCGGGTGTCTCAATGGCCAGTTTCAACTCCTGACGAGGGATTTTAAGCATCAAACGTGCCAAAAAAGACACGAAACACAGGGGATTAAGATGAAGTAAGGGACTTGTGAGATTCTTCACCCAAGAAAACTGAGAGAATTTTCAGAATCTTGGGGGGAATCTAAACACCACCGTGTCGTTTTTCATCTCGAAGAAAAGTGGGGGGAATCAAGCAGCAACCGCTTCGACTTGTTTGGAAAGTGGCATCAGAAATGGTATGATCTCCTCATTTTCGGGCTTCATACAAAGTGGGGCCCCCGTTCGATAGCTAAGTTGGTGCAAATAACTCCAATGTCACTATGGTTTATGATGGTTTATGGTACTTATAACGAACTAGTTATTGGGGCTTATAAACCAACTTAGCTATCTTGGGGGCCTCAATTTGGTCGCCTTAAGTCGTCAGTTGCGAACTCGGCAAAACAGCGGTGACTTCGCTCCTGTGATTCAGCCATCATGCCCCTGAGTGCGGACAAATCGCCGTAGACCTCCGCTTTAAAGCGCAACGGTGACGTCACCGATGTCTGAAAACAGGTATACTCTCAATGGGATTCAATGGTGATTCAATGGCATTTAATGGGATTTAATGGGATATATGATGGCTTACCCTCTGGTAAACTAACAGTTTGCTATTGAAAATTGCAATTTATAGTGAGTTTTCCCATTAATCTGCAAAATTCACTTTAAATTCAAAACGGTTTCCTCGTCTTAAATCTACTTTTCCCCTCTGATTAAATCTTCAGTCCTCGCCTCGTTACATTCAAAACGGATTTCAGCCCATTTCTTTCTCGACCGCAAGCCATTCGAACTAGTCCTCTGCCTCCTTTTGGGTTGAACTTTTTTGAATTATCTTTGTCGTCGTTGCAGCAACGCTCTGGGCTCCAGAGGCTTGGGGATGCTGAAAAAACTTTTCAGGGCCTAAAAAGTTTTCTCCTGCTTCCGAGATGCCCCTTGTACAAGCGGATTTGCAGGGGCTCGTTTCCCCGCAAATTCGACCCCAGAGAAGAGAAGCTGCAGCAGCAGCACCAAGATACCCCGCCCCTGAGGTTCTTAATGCAGTGGGTTCTTAAACAGTGGTTTCACTGTAGAACAAATACGGAAGTCCTGGAACAACCGGGCATGCCACCACAGGGCACTGACTGAAACTACGATAAAAAAAACTGTTCGGGCTCCAGAAAGTTTTTTTTTCACGGGGTCTGAATGCACCCTTAATTTTCTATTTTTTCACTCTGATGGGAACACAAAAAGCTTTCTGGAGCCCGAAAGTTTTTTTTTTCACTCGTTGCACATGCTTTGAAAGCAATTTCTGCCCACCTCGTTTTCTGAATTTAATTAATTCACCTCGCTTAAATTGCAAAGATTCACCTCGTACCTCGTCAGCCCTCGCTCTAAATTATGCAGATTAATAGCATGGTGATTTTCCATAGTTATGTAACAGTTTACCAGAGGGTATGAACGTGATAGCCTATAGCTATGGACAATCATCATCTTTAAAAAACGGCTTTTATCATTCCGAACTTTTTTTTATGGTGCCATCCAAAAAGCAAAGTGTTGAATTATCAGAGGGTACAAATGGATGTTAAATCAACCAATTTTTTCCGTGTTTTTCCACGTTTTCTTGTTGGATTTTCCAGGGTCCAAGGTTTTTGGGCCCAACATTTTCGGGTCTCAGAATGCCTCGGATTCCGCAGCACTCTGCTGGGTTAAAAATATATCCAGTTTGATGGTTTATGCATATGGCTCATAAGCAAAAAATACCCACATTACTTGGATTATATATAACATGGTAATGGATAACTATAGTTACTATCAGTGTTATTATATGGTAAATACCACCAGTAACTATAATTATAAGTTGGTTTATAAGCCCCAGTAACTATAGTTATAATATATATATATCTGGAGTAAATTATAATATTTCACTAACATGAATCTTGCGGCCATAAAAGGGGGTCATTTCCCTTATTAACCATGGTTCCAGTGAGGGAGAACAGTGAGGTCGTTATAATTTACCCGGATTATATATACAATGTGAGGCCCCCAAGATAGCTAAGTTGGTTTATAAGTCCAATAACTATGGTTTATGGTACTTATAACGAACTAGTTACTGGGGCTTATAAACCAACTTAGATATCTTGGGGGCCTCACATTGTATGGACTTTCTATGGCTTCTATGTTTATATAATGGAACATCCCGAATCACCACGGATCCAAACTAAGCTCCGTCTGGAAAATTTCAGGGCCAAGAAGGTCAAGCCCGGGGGTGTTTTTTATGAGGGGTCCGTCTTTTAAGGTCGAAAAATAACATGTATTTTATATTAAGATTTTAATCAAAGATTAGGGGAAAGCTTCGAAATCAAATTTTGGGCAATATTTTGAATTGTATTTTAGAAGGAAATCTAATCGATTTTGAAATAGAACACAATAGTTTTTTATATTAGGGTTTTAAAATTACTATTAGGGGAAAGCTTCGATATCCAATTTTGGGCAATATTTTACTTAGATTTTCAAATGAAATCTAATCGATTTTGAAATAGAACGAAATAGTTTTCAACATTAGAGTTTTAAATTTACTATTAGGGGGAAGCTTCGAAATCAAGTTTTTGGTAATATTTTAATTGGATTTTAAAAGGAAATCTAATCGATTTTGAAATAGGAAAAACAAGTTTTTTATACTGGGGTTTTGAATTTAGTATTAGGGGGAATCCTAATAATAAATACTCCTTAATCATAAAAAAGATCCTGAGGTATTTATTATTTGGGGGGGGCCCGGGGTTTAGTATCAGGGGGAGAGGATTATTCTAGGGATTACCCTTTGGCAAACATACACAAAACTATGGAAAATCACCATGCTATTAATGGGTAAATCCACCATTTCGTTGGCCATGGCTTCAATAGCTTTTTGTATCTAAAAACCAGAGGGTATATAGATTACCAGAGGGTATATCACCCATGATTTGCCAATTTTAATAGGAACTTCCATGGAATAAACCAAGCATTTGTATGTTTACCAGAGGCTATACCATCATATATCCCATTAAATCCCATTAAATCCCATTGAATCACCATTGAATCCCATTAAATCACCATTAAATCCCATTGAATCACCATTAAATCCCATTAAATCACCATTGAATCACCATTTGGGATTGGCCGCGCCTTGTCCAACTTCTCCTTGGAGGCCATAAAGAGGGCCGTGGCATATCGCCCCTCTAAGGTGCCATCCTCCGACTAAGCGGCGGAGAAGGAAATCCATATGGTAAAAACCATGGTAGGAGTGGGATAACAACAGTATTGAGTATATATACAATAGTGTATATATATATACATACATACACAATTGGGTGTATTATACATATATACACTATTGTGTATGTATGTATATATATACACACTATTGTGTATGCATGTATATATATGTATACACTATTGATTGGATATATATATATATGTATATGTAATACGAGATATGGTTGGTTTCTTTTTTGGTACATCAGCAGTATATCGCCATACAACTAATTGGATCATCACTATTGAAACAACCAAAGTGGTGACGGGGGGTCCCCGTCATGACGTAAGCAACCCCCACTACGGGATATATGAATATATAATCATGAAAAATGGAATATTTTACTGTTCATGGGGTATACATATGATTTCCATTTCCGAAAAAAATAAGATGAAAAAGGTAACCTCCGAAAATTTCCCCAGTGTCACCACAAACTGCCTCCAATTTGGGCTTCGACGCCGCGGCTGCCTTGGCCCAGAAGATCAAGAAAGATGGGGACAAACACCATGATTCCCATGGGGAAAAGATATGGAAATTCCAAGAAAAATGGAGGTTTAATGCTGGAAGAACGGAACATTTACGTTTTTTTTCCGATTTCACGAAGGGAATCTTCATGGAATATTGGTGAATAGCCTCCGGTTTCATCAAAACATCTGTTGGCTTACGCATCTTGAACATCTGTTTTCTGGTTTCAAATAACATGTTGGATGCTGTAACCTGCATGAAGACTTTTAAGTATTGTTATCGAGTTAAAAACCTTCAAAATATGAACCATTCCTTGGGGACAAAAAATGTATGAATCACAAAATCATGAGACACATGTTGGTGAATTATCTATAAAAAAGTATTACAACATCATTTTTTCACAACAAATCTTTGGGCCCTGCTAAGCACGTTTCTTGTTGTCATGCAACAAAGACTAACGATTTTCCTTTGGGGCTCTCCCGCTTTTGAAAAACCCCAATCTCAGCGCTGAACGGCAAAACTTCGAGACGGCAACACAGCGACAGCGGCCGGACGAATGGCGGGGCGCAGAGATACCTTGACGGTGGCGACCGTGGGCGAAAATGCGATGTAGCCCACATTTAAAAAGGGCAATGGAATAGAGAAGATGATGATTACACAGGGGATTTGGTAGGGCTACCAAATTCGGATCAGTTTTCAAAAGAAAAAAGCATGATCATTTTGGGACAGTACCCCAAGTTGGTTAGTTGTAGTACATATATCGTAAGAATCCTATACTCCAACCGGCCAGCTGTTCAAGAACCATGTAGTTTCATCAATCTAGCAGCTGGAAACTTTGAAAGGAGAGGCTTCTCCAAACATGATGTGTCCAAAACAGTTTTGCACACGCCATCTGAGTGTTCAAAATCCTGTGTCGTGCCTACTTTAAACTGGTTGGGTGAGAATGAGATTCTCTGTTCATGGATTCTAATACCCTCTGGTAATGACTAACGGTTTGCTATGGTATAGATGGCCATTTAGTTCGTTGATTTACATATTCAACAATGGTGATTATAAGGGATATATAGTGATTACCCTCTGGTAAACATAGAAAAAACGATGGAACGATCCACCCATGCTATTAATGGGAAACCTCACTATTTCTATGGCCATCATGGCCATTTTCTATAGCTTTTAGGTATGTTTACTAGACGGTATATAGATTACCAGAGGGTATGTCATCCATGATTTGCAAATTTTAATAGGAATTTCCATGGAATAAACCAACCATTTGTATGTTTACCACAGGCTATACCATCATATATCCCATTAAATTCCATTAAATCCCATTGAATCACCATTTGGGATTGGCCAATAGGGTCGCCATCTCCCTGAACTCAGAAAAACCAGGAATTTTTCGCAGCTCATGTAGGGAAGATCTGTCTTATGACGTCAGGATTGGTCAGGGATTGAAGCTTCGCTTGTTGAATGCTTCAGAAAGGCATCTGGTCAAATCCCACCTTTAAAGTGGTTGCAAGTGGTTGAATTCTATGGTTTATGGTAGATATAACTATAGTTAATTGGGTTTATAATGGTTAGTAAACCAACTTATAACTGGGGGGGGCATCCTGTAATATATTGGGATATAATGGTGATCAATGGTGAATAATAGTGGTTTGATGATGGTTAATGGTAAATAATGGTGAATGGTAGGATGAATAAATGCTAGTTACTTAGATGGGCCATAGGAAAAATGCGATTCCTGTTTAGTAACTGGGGTTATAACCCCCAAAAAATCCCGATTATCATCCATTTAGTGGTTGGTGGTGCAATAACCATCTTGAAAAATATGAAAGTCAATGGGAAGGATATGGACAACATGTTCCAGACCACCAACCAGTCATCATTTTGATTCAACTCCTGTTTTTCTCGAGTCTGTTGCAAGATCTTGACCAATGTCGGGCCATTGCATAAAAATTGGTCCTGTTTTTTTTTTCTCTCTTGTTTCGCTATTTTCTCTAATCTCTACATCTTAATCTGAAAATTATCGTCGTTCTTGCGGATCATCCTCCAATATATGGCCAATCGTAGATAGCGTGGCATTGTGTCCCCAAAATGGGAAATGCTGAAAGTATCGAAGCTGTATCAAACTACCGATCGGGTCGGTTTCCACCAGAAACTATCTTCATTAATGCAACTGGTTTTATTCATTTTCGCTACAAGCAAATGCAACTTGACACTGGGCGAAAAAGTTGAGATTCATCCCTTTTCGCACACGACGACCTGTTTTGCTGACTGTTCCAAAGGCGACGCTGAAATCATCATAGGTTTTCCTCGTTGAATCCCCATAACTTCTTCTTGGTGAATTCCTCTCACTGGATTGGTTTTTTCAGGAAGTCTTCACCGGTTTTACCATGTTTTTTTACCATTAAATATCAGGATTTTCCAAGAAAAATCAATGAAGATCTTCATTTTTCTGGGTGAAATCTATGCTGGTTGGTGGTTGAGCCCTACCCCTCTGAAAAATATGAGTTCGTCAGTTGGGATTATTCTTCCCAATATATTGGAAAAAACACATGTTCCAGTCACCACCAAGCAGTATGGGTTGAAATCATCCACAAAAACCACAGCTTGGTCGATCTCAAGGTGCGCTGAAAGTGCGGGCAGCAATGGACCTGATGATGCTGACCAACATGGAAGAAACATCGAGGTTTCCATGAGAAAATCGAGAGAACATTTGGGTAGTCAAAACTCCTAACTCTAGTGGTAGTGGATGTTCATCCAACATATATCAATATAGGTTTTAAATGGTTTTAATACATTCCCATGTAGAACATATCGGAAGCTATCAGCAAACGTCGGTTTAGGGAAATGATGACCTCCCGATGATCGCCTCGCCCCAAAACTGGGCAGACGTGGGAATATCATCATACTATGTGGCTCCGATTTCTTCAGGGTCCATGATTCATGACAATAATGGCGGAAGCATCATGGATACATGAAGGCTAGTCACCTCAATATGGGCTTATAACCGGAGTAATGATGCTTCATGATGGTCAATCACGGTGTACTGATGGTTTTTCCCAACAGTAAATGGGGAAACATGAAGTTGTTTAAAGGTAAATAGCCAATATCAGCCGGTCGATGGGACAAATAACAACTGACAAGCGTTATTAAGCATTTAATGGGACAAACGGCCGTTACCAACCATTGTCAAATACGGTTGGTTTATGGGAATATGATGTCAATACCCAGAATAGATGTTGATGGGAAAAAACAATTCTTAACCATGATTAACCATTGAACCACGGGAACGTATTCGCAGGGATAAAACAGTAACTATACCAAAGAAGCCAGGTACAAACATCCCATCAGACAAGTTTTTGGATAACAATCTATTCAATGGAAATTTCAGGATCCTAAAATGGAGGTACTGTACCATATAAGGCCATATATTCTGGGGATATTCCCTTACATAGGCCTAAAACATAGGCCTTTTTTCTATGGTAGGTACCTCCAATCAATCGGTTCCTGTTGCATGGCCATTGATCTATATTCTTAGGTTAAACCCACTTGAAGACTGAAAAAACCCGACCTCTATCATCCCCACCTGGCAGCTACACGAAGCATCTTAGCCTCAGAGCATGGTAAATCATCCAAAATAGGCGTTATACAAGGTGGTGCCCCATAGTTAGCTAAGTTGGTGAACATAACTCCAATAACTATGGTTTATTGTACTTATATCTATAGTTAATGGGGTTTACAAACCAACTTATAACTGGGGGGCACCACCTTGTACAAAAAGGAAACCTAGGGGGGAACACCATCTATAGCCTCCCGGAAAAAAACTTTTATCTCTTTTGGGACCCATGTACACAAGAAGGAACTGCAAAGTGGGGATGGTTGTCCCCAATTACATGGGGCGATATTGAATTCGCTGAAATGAAAAAACCTTATGCCCTCTGGTAAACATACAAAAAACTATTGAAAATTGCTATTTATAGTTGATTTACCAATTAAAAATTGTTCTTTCCATAGTTATGTTAGTTTACTAGAGGGTAATTGACATCCCCAGATTGGCTTGAATCATCGAATTGATGGTTGATATGAAAATTGAACACACTATAACTATAGATGCCGAAAAGAAATCAACCGCTCCACCATACACATACCGGCTTTGCTACCATTTTTTCCCATCCAATTCTAAGCAAACTTCTTCTTGGAATTTTGCAAAAAATGGGGGGAGAAAACTCTCTATTGAGGAAAAACCATCGTTTTCTTTTTTTACAAAAGTCAGATTCACAAATGGCCATGGTCAATAAAGCTTTAGCAAATGTTAATGGCCATGGTCAACAAAAACATAATTTTTCTACAAAAGTCAGTCAAACTTTAGCAAATGGCCATGCCGCCAAAAGTGCCAGATGAGCTGAGTTTCCGACGACTCTAAAAAAAGAAACCGATGAAGCGAGGCGTGCCCACAGGCTTGAGCCGTACAGCTGCAGCGTCACACGTACAGAGAATTCAGTTTGTGTTTTTGTTTGCACCTCAAGTGGTTTTTGTTGGTTAGTACATCCCAATGAAAAACAAGGATTTGCGAATGGATTTAACCATGAAACATGGATGTGATACTTGGAAGGCAGAAAAAAATGGACATGAAACTATCCCCCTCAAACTAAGTCCCACCCGTTGGGGGGTGGACGGGTAGTTTTCGGGGAAGCTATTCCAAGCGTTTGGGCAAATTATGTTGAACCGGAACTTGACGTTTGTGGCCATTTGTCTGATGATTAGCCATATACTTGGTTGAATGAAAATAATTATAATCATAACTGGGTCAGAAATCAATGGCCATTTCAGGAACCGATTGATTGGAGGTACCTACCATATATGAGGCCTATATGGGTATGGGTCAAAATTAGGTACCCCAATAATTGGATTGTTAATATTAAACTAGACTAACATCTGTGGTCCCCTAGGTCTTCCATTTTGACCCACATCCATATAAGGGAATATACCCATAAAATATGGCCAAAAATATGGTACTAACGTACCTCCATGAATTGGATCCTGAAATTTCCATTGAAGAAACACGGTCACTACCTACGAGGACCTTGGGATAATCCTCCGGGTTATATCCCAACGGATGGTGTCATTACCATGGTTATACCATGGGTGCCATTAGATGGGATATAGTCATTAGTTGGGATATAACCCAAAACATCTCATTATATAAAAATACGCTAGACGTATTACAACTATTTTTTCCATGATATCCAATTATATATATATATCCCATGATATTCCGATATATTCCTGGTTGGTGGTTTCAACCCCTCTGAAAAATATTAAGCAGTGGGGATGATGACATTCCCAACTGAATGGAACGTCATAATCCATTCATGTTCCAAACTACCAACCAGATGGTGACTTGGTGATCGACCATTGAAAATGGCCCAGTCGAAAAAGTTGATTTAGCCATTAAAAATGGTGGATCTTTCCATAGCTATGTTAGTTTACCAGAGGGTAATCATAGTTTGATAGCAAATGATTGTACCAAACCATCACTAGTATATGATAGTATGAATCATATACAAATCGTT